AATTTTAGAAATTTTAGGTTATTTTTTACTGGGGAAAAAAAAAAGAAACTGGGACCACAGCTAAAACAGACCTGTTTACTCTTACGATTTTGGCGCAGAATGTGTGATTTTTAGATGTTTATTACGATTGTACGCCGAGAACCGCCAAAAATACAATTTTCAGAGGCCGGGTGAAAAGTATTTGGGTAATTTTTCTGATTAAAAAAAAATTAAATAATTTTGATTGATGGAGTTTGAGACCTTTCTAATAAAGATCTGGCAAGTTTGAACCATCCTTCGTTTTATTATGTACGCACTGAGAGGGGAGCTGGGGGTTTTTGAATAAGGAGAACGCTTGGTTAGGGGGATTTGTGGCAATGTCAAAGTCTATAAAAATAACAACGTATCTATTGAGCTAGCTGCCTCAACTGTAATATTTAGACAAGTCTCGCCCTAGCGACAACTTCAACCCCCCACCCCCCTCATCTTCACCCTTCCCCCCACCCCCCTCATCTTCTTTGACTGCGACCAAGAATGTAAAGTAGTTTTGTTACATAATTATTTTGTTTGCCTGAACTGGCGGAGTGGTGAAAACCGTTGCCACTTTTTTTATTCATAATATAGAAATAGATTTTTATTTTAATTTTTTAAATTGGGGGGGGGGGGTCCCCGAAAGCTCATTGTAACATAATAGTTGGGAAAAGTGTTCGTTAAAAAAAATTTTTTTTTCAAAAAGTATGCGTGCAACAGTGGGGAGGGGGGGGTTAGANAAATGAATTTTAATTTTAATTTTTAAATTGGGGGGGGGGGGGTCCCCGAAAGCTCATTGTAACATAATAGTTGGGAAAAGTGTTCGTTAAAAAAAATTTTTTTTTCAAAAAGTATGCGTGCAACAGTGGGGAGGGAGGGGTTAGATAATTTGACTTTTAATCGTACCAGTACACGCTATATAGATGCCACCCACCCCTCTCCCAATCGAGTTTATTTGCTTTGTATGACCTAATTTTATCACATAGCTGACAGCGGAGAGTACATTTTCAGAGGATCTGAGAGCAGGGTTTCTTTCAGCTTTATCGGAGCAAAAATATGTCCAACAATAAATCAACTGCCGCCCCCCCCGGGAAAATTTCTGAAATAATCACTGTCTGAGAGGGCGTTTTTTTTAAACAGCTTACCCTAAAAAATAAATCTCAATTTACTTGGTAGGTTGTTGCTTTTTTTTAATGATGCCTCAATTTTTTACCGTGTTATTAATTCTGTTTTAAATACATTTTATTTGATGCTGATCTGACTTCGAGTTTGAACCACGTTAAATTTCACCAGTAACTTTATTTTTAGCAATGACTGTGATAATGTGACCTGCACTTTCACCTAAATATTATTTTATAACGATGGCTGAACCACACATCTGCAAAACAAAGTGACCGCAGTTTCCCCAGTTAACGTCAGTCATCTACTGTTTACTTTAATTTCCATTTTAAAAAAAAAAAATTTTTACGCCAACTTAACTCGATCCCCTATCGAGTAGCTAAACAATAAAACCAGAAAAGTGGCAGGGGACCTCTAAAAGTCACCAGGTGGCCCTCCTTGAAACAACTCAAGCTTTATCACAGTTCTAATCAGAAGCAGAAATCTGCAAATAACACGACATCCATTACTCTCTCAGGTGTGCGTATTGAGTTAGCTCAAACAGTGCGGTACCTGGGTGTCTACGTAGATAGAAGACTAACTTTTGAAAGTCATATTAACATGCTATGCAGGGCGATTTTTCTGTAGCTGCGCAGGATTAGTCAAATCAGGCCCTTCCTAACAATTGATACAACAAAGAGGCTGATGTCTGCATTTGTGCTATCACGCATGGACTATTGCAATGCTCTCATGGTGGGTCTTCCAGCTACGCTCCTGGATAAAATTCAAATAGCACAGAATAATGCGGCTTGCATAGTTCTCCGCAAATGCAAATTCGACCATGCAAAAACACTTCTGAGAGAGTTGCATTGGCTGCCGGTGCGTGCTCGCATAGAGTACAAAATCGAAACTTTGTGCTACCGCTGCTTACATGACCTGGCGCCGTCCTATCTGAAAGAGCTGCTGACGCCTTATGTACCCAGTAGAGAGCTCCGCTCATCCGATAGTGGCAAACTCTCGACACCACGTGTTTGCCTTGAGACTTACGGAAGAACGCCCTTCCTGTCGATCTTAGAAACAACCAGACACTGGAGTCCTTTAAAACCGATCTAAAGACACATCTATTTCGCAAATACCTTCTGGGATGATTGTCTACCTTATTTTCCATGTGTTGCTGTGTTGCTCCGGGTTGAAATGGCTAGAAAGACTTTGATATTGTATGCTTGTAATTAGTTTGTTTTAAATGTGGTAAATTATAGATATGTTTTTTGTTAACTTTGTACCGCACTTCGAGCCTTTGGGGATGAAGCGTGTTTTTGAAATGAACTTTATTATTATTATTTTAATTAGTTAATTACAAACTTTTTCGTTAAAACTTAAAGATAATTTATTTTATCATTTCTGTACACACGTCTTTAATTGAATTTATTTTTTATTTTTTTTACACAGCCAAGTTTTAGGTGCAATGTCAGCAGAGAAGCTGTCAGATTTGCAGTCTGAAGCTCTTAAATATGATATCATTGGAATAGATGAGGGCCAGTTTGTAAGTGTCCAGCTTGTCATTATAACTTTAAGAAGAAAAAAACCATTACATTATAATTAAAAATTACATTAAAATATTTTAGCAATAACTGGACGCTTATAACTAAAATTTGATTTTCTTTCATTACTTTAATTTTTTTTCAAATTTGAAAAGCACAATTTCTTTCAAATGGCAAATTTTTTTTTGTTAGTTTCCAGATATTGTCAGTTTCTGTGACAAATTGGCCAACCAAGAAAAGGTCGTTATTGTGGCAGCACTTGATGGAACTTTCCAGAAGAAGGTCAGTTCTAATTACAGAGTACCGGTACAATAGAAATATGTAATTCACTTTTTAAAAAAGCGTATGTTAACGGAATTTGTTAGTAAATAATCTTCATAAATTTTGCCAGCTAAAGCCTAAAAAATTCATTACCTAATATTAACATACTATCCATTGTGTTACTGGAGTAGTAATCATGATTTTTATTTTTTAATTTTAAACTAGGGATTTGGAGACATCCTTAATCTGGTCCCCCTGGCAGAACATGTCCTGAAGCTAACTGCTGTGTGTATGAATTGCTACAATGAGGCCTCTTTCACTAAGCGAATAGGATTGGAGACTGAGGTATTTTCAATATCCTCCAGCTGTATTTATTAGAAAAATCCATTTGTAATATTTTTCTTAATAAATCATAATTTAGAGCTGCTCAGCTTTCATTCAGCTCTCTATACTTGCACACTGTTCTTTGCATTTCTTTATGTTAGTATGATAGTTTGATAAGCTATGTAGATAAGAGAATTTCTCTTTTAATTTTCTTGATATAAAGCCTTATGCTTTACCATCAGTTTTGATCTTTCAAATGCTATATGAAATTGAAACACTACAAATGATCATATTTTTCTAACACATTTTATTTAATGAGGTTATCAGATTTATAATTTTTATATTTCATGATTATTTTTTTATTTTTTTTTTTAAATTTTCAAACTCCAGGTTGAAGTAATTGGAGGTGCAGAGAAATACTTAGCTGTTTGTCGTGAATGTTTTGTTTCACCAAAATCATCACCTCAAAAGAGAATTTCCAACAAGCCCGTAAAAGCAGCTAAACTTTTATTTAGTGAGAATTCTGAGAATGTCCCACCATCATAGTTTTAATACTTGAAGGTTGAATAGTCTGCAACAAAGCATAATATTTCTTTAGATTTTTTATTGTAAATATTGTATTTTAATTTAATAACTTACAATCTCAAATAATCATTTTTATGTCTGTAAGTGGACATCCTTTTATTTTTAAGCATTAAAAAAAAAAACATTGAACTTTTGAAGTTAAAAACATGTATTTATTGGCCAAATCTAGTATCTAGGTTATCATGTTTCCATAGGACAGCCTTTATATTATTCTGATGCTTTAATTAATTTAGTTTTATCAGTTTTGTTTTTAATACTTATTCCTCATTAAAGAAGTCATTTGAGTTGGAAGATAAATATTCGATGTCCTGTGTAAAAAATAACTTTAAAATTTTGTCTGTGCCATAAAAATAAATTTGCCCATTTAGCTTAGTGCTGAATTTTTAATATATTTTTTTTAATTGTACGGTCTTCATTTATTTATTTTTTCTTTTTATTGACAACTACTGTAATTGATGAGCATTATTTACATTAGTTTTATAATTGGGAATATTTTTTTATATTGTTTGTGGGTATTTGTTCTTGAATGTTCCATTCTTACATATGTTACTTTACTCATATTATATTCATTTTATAAATTTCATGCATGCACATAAATATTTCCGAGTGTTAAATGTGTCCTTGTAATTTCTATATAAAAATATGTGAGCAGTGTATCATAGTCTTTTTGCAATGTTGTCCCAATTCATGCTAGCAGCACACTGATCTATTCAATAATCATATGAAGAGTTTATTTTCAAAACGCAGTATCCACCACTTTTGAAAAAAACGAAAGAACTTAACCTTTTTGTAGAGAAACCAGTATCCTTTAGGACATGGTAAAGTTTATTTACAAAAAATGTTATATTCCTATTTTATTCTTGTCTAAAAATTATTTAATTCTCTAAACACAGTAGGCAATTTTTTTGTAAAAAGTTGAATAATCTCAAAACCTCAAAAATGGATATACAGCATTTTGAAAATCAGCTCTTCGGTTCCAAGTTAGTCCCATTCCCATATATATATATCATCCTTCGGTCTTTGTTATAGTCCCAAATAACAATCATAATATAAAAATACTCATTGCAGAATAGTTGTTCACCCATTGTAATTAATTAGAAGATAGCTGATGTCACGGATGGCTTAGGCTGCGGTTACTGTACTGGATTGTTTAACCTGCAGATACAAATAAAAGCATGAAACAAAGTGTAGAAAATCAGTGTCATCATTAAGCCCTTGTGTGCACATGTTCTGCTCCTTGTCTAGTCACCATTCACAAAGCAAAACATCTACTTGAGTTCATTCAATCCTTTGTTTCTTAGAATAATTTAATTTTAGGGATATAATGCTACAACTGGAACATAAATTTCTTTCACAACCTCAAGCCATGGAGATATATTTTATTATTAATTATACTAATATTACATTATCCTACTTTTATTATGTTATGTTTACTTTACAGCTTGATTTTTAACTTGTCTCCTACTCCTGCAGTTTCAAAAATGAAATAAAAACAAGATGATTATTAAACACATAAAACTAAATTAGTTACAAATGATTCAAACACAAGTTTTTTTGTTTTTTTTAAATGGATGATTCAGTGAAGATAAGACCTAACTTACATTTTACATGTAAAATATTTCACCATTTGTTTATGTCTATAGAAATCCCTTGTACTGCGGGGAAAATACAACTCCTTCACCAATGCGTTGACATTTTTTAACAAACCTGGACAACTGTTCATTTCTTGCCATATTTGTAAAATAAAGTTTAAAGTACATACATTATTATTCAGAGGAGATATAAAGAGACATGTTTGTTATATAAAAATAAGCTCATCTGCTTATTGAAATCCAAGTAATACTATTACTAGTATTAATTGGATTTCAATAGGCAGATGAGCAATTTTTTGAAGAAACTTGACTTCTTTTAAATTTAATGTAGTCCATATTTTGAGGGCACATAAAAACAAATTATAGGAAAATCTTCAAAATAAGTTTCAAGTTAAAATCATAAAATTAAGGTGTTTATTTAAAAAAATATTTTTTGGTGTTAGTGTTAATCCTTTGTAACTTAAAAAAAAATTATAGTATTCAAACTTTAACTTTAAAACAAAAAAATAGTCCAATAAGAGGAGCGCAGAAGGGTAATAAAGTACTGTAACTTACAAAGTTGTGAGTGGTATTATCAGTCAGGGGAGTTTTTAACAAAACATCAAATTTTACACACAACTTAATCCTTTACTATTTGTTTTTACAAATGCAATATTGTTTGTTGCAATTTATGTTCACCACTTTCTCTCCAGTATAATATTTCTAAAATCACAATATTTTTTTTTTATGAGCAGTATGCAATCATTCTGGCATTTAGTATTTAGCTATACATTATTTACAAACATTTTCAATGCACAAGTGATCCAGAAGTAAAAAAAAATCTTTATAAATTATAAGTAGTGTTTGTTTTACAAGAAAACTACCTTCTTAGTCAACAAATAACTTATGTTTTCAGAACAAAATAATGTGGCACTCCTTTATAAATAAACAAAATTAGTAGGATTTTTTTAAAAATATAATAAATTACCAAGTACGGGTAATCTGATTTGGTAGTCTTTAAAAAAAAAAAAGGAATTAAGTAAGCCAGTGCTGTCCAAACCACGGCCAGCAACAGCTTGAGAAATTTGTATGATGTGTGTAAAAAAATAAATCATTTTATAGTGAAAATATTTTCAAATGACATTCATTTGATTTAGTATTGTTGAACAGGGGAGTTGCTAATGGCTACCGGGTATAATTTACTAATGGCGTTTGGAAACCAAAAATAATGTGATGTGTGCTTATATGGTAATTGTACAAATTTCCATTCCGTCACCATCGGAATCAAGATAGGTGAAATAGGGGAGAAACGCAAGTTAATGATTGCACTTTGTAGGATGGTAATAACATTACAGGAAAGTCTGTGTCAGAGTAATCAAGATTGGAGTTGGGTTACTAAAGGTGTCATAAATGACTGATGGGCAGTGTAGACCATTTATGGTACCATGTTATTTAAACAGGTGTGGGAGAGTGTGCCTATCCTGTATTATAGGGATAAAGTACCTGGTATTCAGACATACGAGCATGGGATGTTCAATAAGTAGAAAGCAGGATACAAGCTATGTTTGTTTTTAGTTAGTGTAATTCAGTCAGATAGGATTTGTGAAAGAGCAAGAATCATATATATATTTTTTTTTATATGAACATACCTAAGAATTCTTGGCCAAATGAATTCTGGATGACGTAATCCCGTTTTCAACTGATGAATTTAATTTTGTAACAAAATTTTGACAATATCTGTGGAAGAACCTATGTAAGTGAAGTTGGATTCTCTTTAACTGTAATGACTAAGATCAAGCCCAGAAAACCCTTTGATTGGCGACCATTAAGAAGATCTAATGAGGCCAGGTGCTACTGAAAACTACCTCAAGACTCAAGTTATGGAACAAGTACATTTCAAAGCCAAATACCTCATTAAATAAGTGCCAAGGTTTTTATTCACTTTATTTATATTCTTGCTGAGCGGATATTGCTATTGGACATATGTTTCTATATGCATAAGGTAAGAAGTATTAATAATGTGAATGTTGTAAAAAAGGTTTTTAAAATCTTTCTTTTGAGATATGTGCGGGTGGAAAAAATTGTTTGACCCACAGTCAGAAAAGTTGGACAGCACTGTTCTAAGCTATCAAAACATACTAGCTATTGCAAAATATTCAAAGTAATTGTTAAATTTAAAATATGTATTATTTAAGTTAATATAATATTGAAAAATTGATAACAAAGGTTCTCAACCATTTTCAACTAAAACCCAATTTTCTCATACTTAGGACCTCTGGCATACTTCTGTAAGTTAAAAAAAAAATCCATGATTCAGATGTACTAGTACTACTAGTGAGTCTTACAAGTTATATTCCACTGGTATATATTTTATTGAGATTGACATTTATTTTACATGTAACCAATTATCATCAAGCAGAAAAAAAAAAAAACTTTCAGAAATAATGTCATTCCCCTTCAGGGAAGACCAGTCAGTCACGTTAATTTATTCTGTTTCATCCAAAACAAATTAATCTGTATATAGGTGGATCCATTATATTTTCAGATAAATCTTTAATTAGCTATAGCAAACTAATAACAGTTTTTATATTGAATAGTTATTAACCTTTTTCCCCTCAAGCTGACAATGGTATAAGTATAATATATCTTTGTAGATATATTTTTTTTTAAAGAAGACTTGAATTAGTTACATCTGTTTAAAAAATGGATCACAAAGAACCACACATTTTTTTTTTCTTACATCACTTCACCTTGCATTGAAGAAAGATTTGATGATTTTAACAAAATAGTTTAAAATCCTTGGTGGGTTTGCGTAGAGTGCAATTAACAGAAAACTTGTACAGCCATTTTCTGAACTATTTCAAAATTTGTAAAATTACGTCCACTAATGTTATTTTGTTTTATACACACTTTGAAATGTATAAATATTTAAATTAATTTTAGTGGTATCATTTTTCTTAAAAATATGACAATTTCTTCTTGTTTATTTTATATTCTATCTCCAGCTTTGGAGATTAAAATAAATTTAACAATCTCATGCAGGGCATCAGCTAGCTAGAGAATAATCATGAGGTCAAGTGATCCATGAAATGAGGCTGCCCATTATTGTCCAAACGCCTTGTAAGAACTTCACAGCCAGTTTCAGTAACAAGCAATGTGTGTTCAAACTGAGCTGACAGTTTGCCATCTTGTGTTACTGCAGTCCAATTGTCTGGCCATGATTCATCTCTCCAAGTCCCTGAAACCAATATGAATGTTTAATTTAACTTTATTTTACATGGCTTTAAAATCAAACTACCTTCACCACAAGTATGATGTAGGCCACAACGCAGGATCATTTTTATGCCCTCCCTATCCATTGGTGTAAGTCATAAAGCCATTGCTCTTTCTCATACACTTATAAATGCAAATATTTTCCTTATATGTCACAATCATCCGGTCCCTTTTTTAAATGAACAAAGCTAAAATAAAAGTGATAGTGCACCAATAATTGTTGCGTACTGAATGTGTTTTATTGCGCGCTATGTCTTTAGAGAGAGTAAATAGTTAATGAACGCCCTTCCAGCCTTACTTGGTGACTATATTTATGATTATCATGAGGTATTATCTAGACTGTCTTTGACATGTGCTTATTTGCCAGCAGTCATAAAAAGAAAAAGAAGGGAATGGTATTATTTCTCTTCTTATAGCAAGCTGCGCTATACATGTGTTTGATGAAATGTACAGTCTGTTAGATATTTTTATAGATTAAAGTTACATTTTTAATGGAAAAGGACTTCTTGTGTTTAATTCGGTGTTATTACGACGCATGAACAACATGTAGAAGCATCTGATGAATGAAACCAATCAAAAATATTGTAGTTTGACACTGCCTTTGTTTAACAAGCCACAACTGTTGGTATTGTGACGTTAGGAATAAAATCCAATATGTCTAGCTGTCTTACCTTCATTTATCATGGGCTCAATGGTAAACACTTGTCCTGGTTTCATTATTCCAATAGCCTTGTTTTCTGAGGACAAGTTTTATTTAAAATATAAAAAGTTTTCTAGAAATAAATGATACGATGAAACACAATAAAACACTGAAATTAAGCTGTCTTAATATCTAAGAAAATAAGTTAACAACAACGACTTTACAAAATCTACCATTATTTTAGTTAGATGAACAGAATAACATACTTCCATAATGAGGTACACTTGGGGTTGTGTGAAACAGTCTGAAATTGATCCAAGATACAAATTAAGTATACATTTTCTATACTGGTAATGAAAAGAAATGCCAAGCAATTTAAATGAAAATGAATAATTGTTTTATGTCTGAGCCTGTGTTTAATGTGTATATATCTGGAATTTAAGTTTTGATCATGATGAATAAATATAATTATGGGAATACCTTGCTGGAATGTTGAGGGATTGGTATACAGTAAATAAATCTGATACAAATGTAAGGTCTTACTCATGTATTCCATGTCCACAATAGCTGCGCACCACAGAGTATCCGTTTGCCTGAGCATGCTTCTGTATGACATTTCCTATTTCTCTATATCTTACACCAGGCTTCACTAGAGAAATGAAAGGCAGTTTGAAGACAATTGTAAAGCCTACATTTTGTGCATATTAAAATGTTGGTGATTGAAAATAAAGGCATCTGTGACTACTTTGAGCAACAACTAAATAATAATTTTTTGTTCAATTGGTCATGCTTTGCATTGAAAAATTAACTTGGGGGTCATCCATAAAAGACGTCCACACAAAAGGGGGGAGGGGGGGTTCAGCAAAAAGTGGACTAAAGTGGACAAAGGGGGGGAGGGGGTTTAGGACAAAGTGGATGTCCACATTGTAGTGTTTTTTTGAGTGCAGCAGTTTTGCATAAATTTACTGCCCGATCACAGTTACAGTAGCATGCATTTTGATCTCTATTGTCCATCGGTGGCTGGAAGAATTTCCAAGAGAATATGTTTCTGCGGTAAATATTTCCTATCACAGGCGGCAATGAAAAAACATAAGGTCGTCCATTGCAATATTCCTGCTAGTGAACATAATATGGCAGACGAATCAGATGAAGAGACTACCACTCAAATTGAATTAGCAATTGAAGACTCAAGAACAGATGTTGTCATTATACGAAACATGTTTGAATGGCTGCAGTCCGAATTTTCCGTTGATTGAAGAATGGTGGATTATTTGTTTATTACATTTTTTAATACAGTGATTCAATAAAATGTTTTTGAACAGTTATTATTTCATTTAGAATTTTGCCTGCAAATAATTGGAATTTCTAAANGGGGGGAAGGGGGGGGGAGAGGGTCAAGTCAAAAGTGGACAAAGGGGGAGGGGGGTAAAAAATAGCATAAAATTGGTGGACGTCTTTTATGGATGGCCCCTTGTTTGTTGGAAAAAAATAACACAAAAATTTAATTCTCATCTTGATAAAGCTTTTTTTTACATTTATTTGCAGTTTGACTATAAAAACAGCTGTCCATTTCAAGTATAAAATAATAATAATTTAGTACAACAACCTTATATTTTCCATGACTATATAAGTCATATTGTCAAATAGGCATCAATATTGATAAATATTTTAATTATTATCTATACATTCAGTAAACATCATTTTTATAAACTTTATTTCTACCAAATGCCACATTTGGACAGACTAAATAAAAAAAAAAATTTTAATGTTTCATAGAAGTAAAAACTTGGCAATGCGGTGGGTAATAATGGTACTGACCTTCATCTATAGCAAATTTGAGACATTCATATGTTGTTTTAACCAACTTTTTGGCACTCTCGCTGACATTACCAACAAAAAAAGTTTCATTAGCATCTCCATGGTATCCTCTGTGATAAGCTGAGATGTCAACTGATAGAACAAACATTAACACTATAAACATGGTTATTTTGCTAATTAATATCCTCACGTTTACATTTTGTCGTCGCCCCCCATCCCCCCTTAACCCCCACCACTCCTATCCCTTTCGATATTTGGAGAAAGGACCTAAAAATATTTTTATATTGCTTGTTGTCCAAGGCATGGCAAATAGGCTTAGCACATTTTTGCATTGATAAATATTTATTAAAAAAATTGTTGCTAACCCAAATGAACAATGCAAAGAATTCCCGTTACTATTGTAATACAAGAGATTTAGGTGGCTTTGAGATTTTACGTAATGCTCAACAGTATAAGGAATAAACAATTTCTATAATTTCATGACATAAATATTAATGGGAAAACAATGAGATTTGAATTTGTGTGCCGTGAATGTGCATAAAAGGAGTTAAAAATAAATTTTTAACTATGTTTTTTTAAAAAATATTTATTAAGATGTGCTAACAATTATTCAGTGCAAACGTTTAACGCCCAATATGCACTATGTCATCTTTAAAAATGAAAAAAGACATAGGAAATCTTAGAACATGACCCTTCAATAATATCTATTTGATGCATCATTCTCTGCAATGACAAAATCCTTTGGCTTTTTCATGGAATTAAAAAGCCTCCATAAGATCAAAGGGTTGGATTAACCACATGAAGAGTTGACAAAAAAACAATTTTTGAAAATAACTTTCAAATTGAAATTTTACTTTAATGAAACCTGATATTTATAATTTTAGCATAATTTTAAAAGAATTTCAAAGCATAGTACAAAAGAAACAATATAAAATGTTTTTTAAAAAGTCATGGTTTAGCATTTTATTGTTTTTCTTCCATAAGCAAAAGCACATGAGTTAGGTCTTTTGGTAAAGGAAAAGTAAACAATTGCACTTTGAGGTAAGTCAAATATCAGACTATAAGACTTTTAAGGTTAATGAAATATGGATTAATTATAATTATATCTTATAATTATCTTTAATATGGTAAAGGATTTATGGGAATCTCACCGTTCATGATGTCTCCATCTTGTAAAGGCCTCATATCGGGTATTCCATGGCAGATAACTTCATTTATGGACCTTTCAAGTTTATAAAAATTACATTTTTAACAAGAATTTTTGAATTTATGGGTTTAAAAAAAAGTTTATTAAGAATATTGATACTACATTTATATGATAAGATTACTTTTTTTTAAAATATAACACGATTACATAGGTTTGTGAGCACTTCACTTTATAAAAACCATTTCATAAAACACATAATTGTTACCCATTTTTTATTTGAAAAGCACACAAAAGAAAATCAGAACATTTTGATGAGAAACATTGTTGCAACAAGGTCATTAGATATTTTAATAAATAAATCCTTAATTTAACAGTTTTCTGTAAAAATGACAAAACTGATATGTGTTGCAAGTTTTGTTCTAACAAAATAATGTACAACTTACGTGCAACATGATTTTGGAAATTCAAAGTAGTTGAGTGGAGAAGGGTAACAATCTCTATCAATGGTTGCCTAAATAAATACATAAATGAGTATTAATTTTGTATTTCAATTTATTAAAATGAACTTTGGTGAAGGTCTGAGATTACTATTTTATGACCCCGGCTAGTACATTGGCTACCAACTCCATCTGCTGAGCTGAGCCATGCAACATTTTCCTCACAAAAGGTTCTCCAACCGCCATGGCTTCCCCAGGGACATCTAGTGAGGGATATTCGGTCAACAGGACCAGGCTGCAATGCCCGCAGGCAGGATCCCTGTTGTTGTCCAACCGCCAGTAGTATGTGCCTATGGGGCAATGCTCAGTGCGCTTTTGCGTCACTAAGCTCTGCTGTCTGCGGCCTAACCCCCACCATGGGTCTTGTTTACTAGGAGTGGGCAAATTTGAAAAGGAGCCTCTGGCAGTCGTGTTGTCCGCCAGCCAGTTCTTTATTCCCAAATAAGTTATTGGTACTTCTGGCTGAGGTTGGGCAGCTCCGGTTTTCGCAAAAGTCTCCGCTTTCTCATTGCCACTAACGTTGATGTGACCTGGGATTCATTGCACTGTGATCTTGCCTCCTAGTTCACTGATTTTGCACACCTCATCAATGATGACATCAACTAAGTGAGTGGTACCTGGTCTCTTTCCCAAGTTCCGCTTCAGCGGTTCCTGCAAGAGTTTTGCCTCTACGTGATGCGACCGACTAGTAAGGTAGAGCAGACTACCCGAAGCTAAAAAACTCATGTCACTACGTCTGTCTCCCAAGGTGAAGGAGAGAGGTTACTCCCCAGGAGAAGGTAATAAAATAAAGCCTAGAAATTATTCAATTATATGGCTAGTAAAAATGATTTTTAAACAAAATCATTTAAATCGTAGAACAAAGAAATGAACTTTTCATGTAGTAAATAAATATCTCGCACCAATACAAATGAAGCAATGAAAGGGATGCTAATTTCTGTTACAAACCTCATGTACCAGCCTATCAATCTCATCAGTGGTGATGCCCACAGCAGTTGCCTCAGCTGCCACATCCAAAATCTCTCGAGTCAACTGTGAAGACAAGGCAGTTCAATTCATTATCTGAATCTTTTAAAAGTGATTGTAAAAGTAAATAGAACAAACAGGCACTCTAATAGTATTGTTAACTAAGAGACAATTGGCAAGATCATTTTCTTAAAGACATTGATCTACAGTATTAGAACAATAATAATAAAAATTGGCAGCATTACACATTTTGAAAATGGGTCTACACATGATAAGGATGATGTAAGACAAGTCACCATTTTAATGTACAACACTCAAGGATTTTTGTTATTTCCCTAAAGATACCTCACCTTGCAGACGACACGCATTGCTTCTTGCTCTTCATCATTCAAGGTCCTTATATTGGTTGTGCCTCTCATTTGTTTCTCACTGTCTGAAACACCTTGTAAAATAATTGAAATATTATGTTAGGGATATGTACTGCGGCGTTTGCCAATATGAGACCTCTAACACACCCCCTTTAAGAACAACATTAAGGTCAGTGATGGTGAACCTATGACACCCAGAGCACTCTTGTCTGCATGTGAGTCAAGTGGTCAACAGCATCTAAACTAGAAACTCAGTATTCAGGTCTAATTCAGCCCTGTTGGAACTTTTCAATAAATAAGTGGTGTTCAGGTTGCAGTTTGGGCACTCTGTCAATGAAAAGGTTCACCATAACTGTTTGTGGTTGTCTCTAGATTTTAAAATATTAGTAGGAGGTAAAACATATTATCTCTTGGGGAGGTTGTCCCTAAACTTTTTCATGTCAGGATTCCACTAATAAATCAAGATTTTTTTCCCCAGGCCTTCAAGTCAGAACTTAGGCATACCCAACAGTTGTAGTGCCATTAGGGTTCAATTAAATTAGTAAAGTTATGTTTTTTTTAAAATAGATGAAACGCACATTACCAATTCACCAACAAATTATGTAAGAATCATTTAACAAGCACATATTTTGAACACTCTTAACACTGAAATAATAAATAGTGAAACATCACTGTGACCCAGCAGGTCTGCTACAGGGAACATTTTGGGAACCACTGTCTTAGTGGCTTCCAATTATCCCAGTTTCTCTACATTTAAAATTTAAAACGAAAACTTTCTTAATTCTTATAATTAAGGTTGCCCTTTCCAACTTTCCGAATTTTCCATATTTATAATAAGTTTTAAAAAAAATTAAGCCTGTTTTACCAGTGGGATGGTTTGCATAATCAGGCCTTGTAATATTGTCTGGGACTATTCTTGTTGCACTCTGGTATAAAATACACAAATTAATAATGTAGCAATGTAATGTAATTTTATTTAAGTATATTTGTAAGTGAAAGACATACAAAAGTACATAAAAAGTGTGAAAACTTTATCACAGAAATTCATGACATATTCATTACCATACAAACTTAAGAAAATGCTAGAGGACTTCACTTACCAATGGTGCAGGACGTAAGGTGCCTGAGAAACGGAAACCTGGCCAAGGGTTGTAATGTTCATTGGTATCCTTTTCACCATTCACAGGAGTTTCTAAGTAGTTAAGATAGAGGGGAAATGTGTCATTATCATCTATTAAATAAATCTTCATAAGAGATGTGTTTCTCAGCTAAAGAATAAATATTAATATATAAATAAATACATACAAGCCACAGCCTCAGACAGGGATCTCAAATTAGGGGCCCTCATTTGATAATGACATATGTAGGTGTGTTAGAACCCTTGGGCCATTGAACTATTTTTGTGTGGCCCTTGATGTCATTAGGATCCATGGTTTAGACCCTTATTTCAAGTCTTGGATGTTTAGGCCATAATGGCTTTTTAAAATAAAAACTAATTTAAAAAAAAAAGAATTGACTTTAATTTTAAAATTTAAGTTCTATTTTGAAAATTTAAATAATCTCAGTGTTTTGATTGTTTTCCTGTGAAAAAAACATAGATTGACATAATAAAGATATAAAATAAAGCACACACACAAAAGGGAATCATGTTCAACCACGATTCTCTTTGACTTCTAGTTGGTACTTAAAACAGATAGCTTAAAGAAATAGTACACAGGATAAACTTACTGGCTAATTTGTGAAGCTTTTTGTGCTCACCCCAAGATTCTTTAAAACAGGCCTGTGTAAAAAAGAATTTTAAATTTATGATAAATAAATAATATTTTATTGAGCATGTTTATTAAACTTACTTAATATTTATTGCTAAAAACCAACAAAATTGAATAATGTGGCAAATCCAGTGTTTCTCAAATTGAGGTGTAATGGAGGTCCTGGGATAACGAAGGGCATAATGTGTTGCGTATGCACAATATAAAAATTAAAAATCAGCAGTTTATTTTGTCTCTGTCTTTTGACTCATTGGAGTTATTAAATGGATATGAAATTCTTTGCCAGACGTTGCTTTCATCTTACTAACAGGTGAAACTAAACTTTATTCTGCGACAAACAAATTACAGTACATTGGATGGAAGAATACCCTTCCATTTTATAAGTTAAACTCTATTAAAAACCTGTGAAGAATTTGGCTGGGATATTTACTGCCACAATAACATTTTAAAGCCTATTTTGTCTGATTGAAAAGCAAATTAACAAATGGACAAACAGGGGACAACTTGAAAAAATTACTTTTATCGCATCACAATATCAAAAGGACCCCACAATGTTTAATGCTTCTTCACAAAATCCTTATGGATAGTTGCTCAAGTTAAAACATGCAACATTTCATCTTTCACTGGAAAGCCACATACAATGCACTATGACCATCTGATAGATTTTGGTGTAATTAACAGAATTTTGCATTACACGTGACAAATGTAAAAGATTAAAGTTACGCTCAGGACAGCTACATAAAGATACCAAAGAAGAGTCAATAATTTTTTATGGTCAGCATTCTTCAAAGACAAGGTATTATACTTCTTATTACTTACTCCTAACGTGTAAAATGCTTTCTTGAGCCTTAAATTGAATGAATTTAATTCGTTATGATAAGTGATCTTAAATTTAGTTAAGAAAAACAAATTTTTTGACTCCCTAAACTAATTTGACAAATCATCATTTTGACAAAATTTTGTCTAAAAAGTGGCTGAAAATTTTATGGCAACTTGTGTAATTGTAGTTGTAGGCTAATGAATGTAAAGTTACGCTACGGCCTATTCATTTATTAACTGACACCTTTTTCTTTGAATTTGTAACTGCTATGAATCATCATGATCTGCTTAATTTAATTACATTTATTGTATAGTAGAAATAAGTCTAATTTAATTTTTATTATCACTATTATTAGTAGAAACTACAACTTTAACAAGACAGAATGACGCCAAAGGAAATGTTTTTTATTAGCCAAACAGTTCACAGTCAAATCAGTGCCTTTGATGGCAACACATGAGAGTGGGACAATAGAATAAATACAAATACAGATAATGAAATGAAAACGCAAGAAGAGAGTGAGACAATAGATACAGATAATGAAAACGCAAGAGAGTGAGACAATATCAATAGATACAGATAATGAAAACAGAAACCCTAACTCCTTATTCATCCTAAGCCTAAACATTACAAATATTAAGCCTGGACTGCTACTTCCTCTGAGTATGAGTATGACATAATTGTCGTTCATGTCTTTTCATTTTTATAGATTACTAATTATTCTACTTCGACCGACTATTACTATTACTATTATTAGTCTATTACTATATTAGTATTTGAGGTGCTGGGTGGCCGAGCGGTCTAAACTGTCTCAAACTAAATAGCTGTTGTTGGTCCGGAGTTCATTCCCCATCAAAGCCATCCCAAGCACCCCGGGTGGATGTGACTCGTTAGCCTTGGACGGCAACCCATCTAAGAGAAGGCTAACTCTGAATTAAAACCAGGAGCCAGAATGATCAACAAATTGATCGTGGGCCCCTCAAATATAAGAAGAAGAAGATTTGTATTGCCACTCAATGATTTTATTCAATGATATCACGTCATAGAATAAATATAAAATAATCAACATTCACAAAGTCATAGATAGTTCAAAGTGAAAAAAGTAGAATGATCTAAAACTAAAATCTAACTGTAAATACTTATATTATATCTAGCTAGGAATTCAGAGTCTGAGAATGCTTTTCTGCTCTGACTCTCGCTTCGAATTAATTAAGTTTTGAGTATTTTTTTTTAAAATTTTACCTGAGAGCAAAAAAATGAACCTGGAATTCCAATTTTGATACATGTTGGACACTGTAATTTAGCTGCTTCTCCACAACCAGGTGTATCACAGACCTGAGAAGAAACAGCCAAAGACATTTTTTTTTCTAAACGCACGATTCTCTAACTTTGCTTACGTCCCTTGCCAACTGAGGGAGCAGTTACTTACGTGAAAATATCCATAAACACTTTTTCGTGTTAAATTATAAACTATTATATAAGAATTGAAATATTAATTTATGTTAACATTATTACATAATGAAAGTATTTTTCCAATAAATTTACGCTAAAAACTTCAATATTAAATAAGTAAATAGATTTCAACGAAAAGATCCCATTATAGTTTTTATTTCTCGGAGCAACATGGCGGCTTCCATTAAAGCAGATATTGCTGGAGTTAAATCAACTGTAAAGCGAGAAATAGGAAAAAAGGCCAAATTAATCACAAAGAAAGAAGAGAATGATATCGGTAATAAGTTAAAAATGATAAGTTGAAAACAGCTCACAAATCTAATTATTATTCAATAATATATAGACTAAAACATTTTTCACTTCAAGTCCACTCCAAGTTACTTAGCCAAGTTGTTGTCTTTTTACTAAAATTTTTATCTTTTTGTTATAAAATTATTATTGTGGCCGGTGATGGCGATGGGTAGACGCGCCCAGTTACCAATGCATATTACGCGATGGTAGCTGTGTACATTGTGTAAAACAAAAAAAAGTAGCGCTAACACTTGTAACACACATACTAAAATGGGGAGGGGAAAGAGAGAATGTGCTGGTTTTAGTTTTAGCTAATTACCTCCAGTTCCTAATACTATCACTGAGTAGCCCTTGCAACCAGTGAAGTATCCTCTTCAAAGCTGTACATTATACATTGATCATGGGCCCTCAAAATATAGAAGAATAAGAAATGAAATAGGAAGAAAAACGTTAGAATTTTATTAAATAATTTCAGTGGGTACATTAATTTCATGGTGAACGTAGTAACTTTATTGATTCGATCTAGATATGCAGCAAGAAGAGTCATCGACCTGCGGTCGCTTCCTTTCCTGCCGTAATTTCAGCCGGTACATGCTCCCTTCCCTTAATTAAACCATGTGTGCTACAGTTACACACTGTGGTAAGAAAAGTGTAAAAATGAAGAAAAATAATACAAAATTGTTTTAAATTAATGAAACCCCAACTTACAATTTCATAGAATACACTTTTACACACTTTATTTCAGGTACTGCCATAAAGAAAATTCAAAAGTTGTCAGAAAATCAATACAAAATAATATACGCATCTTCCAAAGTACTGGAACATTTAAATATCATGCACCACATTAAATTATAATTTTAAAAATTCCATTGTCATATTAAGGAAGTAAACTCTAATCCAAGAATAAGCAAAAGGGAGAGATTTTTACACAGAAACTCAATGTAACGCAGATTGCGTAATTTGACCTTAGTGGTTGCAGTTTTTGAGCAATGAATTTTAAAAAAAAACTATATGAAAATATGAGTTTGTTTGTCCTTTTTTTATGGTATATTACATTTTACAATGATAACTATGAATGTACCAGTAGTATGGAATGCTCCACCTCATGTTGTGACAAAATTCTGTTTCTTTAATACTTGTTAATTTATTCTTTCGTTGTACAAAAATGTGCACTTTATTCAGCAAAATAATCTTAATAATGGGATCATCATTGCAATAAAAAAGTGCATAGGTCATGTTTTACAAATTATTATTACATGTCAATGGATGATTATGATTTTACTATTTTTACTGCTAATCAACAAAACTAAGTCCCGGGTGCAAAATTGAGCATAGCAACTTCATTGTTGGCTAACACTCAGATATTGAATATGCGAGAACACCAAAGATGAAAAGAGAGGAAAACAATGTGCTGTCTGAGCATCTTGTAAGCCCTACCCAAGTCATTAATTGATTAAAATTTTCCAATAAAAAATAAAATCAAACTTAACTTACAATTTAAAACCAACTCATCAATAGCATTTAATTTTTAATGAATTAAAATTATGCATGTAACGTTACATTCAACCAAGGTTTTGTTTTCAGTTCCAAAGAAAGAAGCAAAGATTGACAGAAGTAGATCATGTCCTTACTTGGATACAATTAACCGGTGAGTTTTCAAGCCCTAGCCTATCTAATGAACATTTGATTTTAAAAATGCCATTTAATGTGATTTTGGAATAGTCGTGTTGGGGGCTGTGTGCTTAGAAGAATACTTTAATTGCAGTATTTCATTTTTTAATGTTTTCTTAATTCTTTTCATTGAAGGGTAAAATAGAAAAGTTTTTAAGATTCTTTTAAACAGTTTTGTGTCATTGAACTGTCTCGTAATTATATTTACTTGTCTTTTTAATCTTCTAGCTCTGTTCTGGACTTTGACTTTGAAAAACTGTGTTCCATATCCTTGTCTCACATAAATGTTTACGCATGCATGGTCTGTGGCAAGTATTTCCAAGGTAAGAAGCTTTTGAACAAGTCTGTGACAGAGATTTGATAACAAAATAAACCCCTTAAAGTTTAAAAGAAAGCGCCTTAACTTATTTGGATACAATTGATATATACAAGCTCATTTTATATGCTGTTGCTTAGCTTATTTAGCTGTCATAATTTGAGAGATCTTACCTCAAGCTTCATATCAAATACCTGATAGCTAGAGAGCTTTTTTTCCAACACATATACTTTTTGTCACAGGCAGGGGAAACAACACTCACGCTTACACCCACAGTGTGTTTGAGGGTCATCACGTGTTCCTCAACCTACAGACCCAGAAGTTTTACTGCCTGCCAGACAACTATCAGATCATTGACTCGTCTCTGGATGATATCATTGTAAGTGAGCTCATAATGTTCACATGTCCGTCCGTCAAATTGAATGCAAAGTTGCTTTTTATTTTTTTCTGAAGCACCAATCTTCATTTGACTTGTAATACCGTTATAAATTTTAATTATTTCTTTTTTTTTATCAGTATGTGTTGAACCCCACATTCAGTGACACAATGATTCGGAAGCTGGACAAAAATCCTAAACTTTCTAGAGCTTATGATGGGACCACATATCTCCCTGGTTGGTATTCATTTGATATCATATTAAACACAACATATTCCTTAGTTTACTTGTAAATCATTGGCATTTGAAAATGATATCCTTTTGTGCTAAAATTGTATGACATTTTTGACCAGCAATTAAGCAGATAAATGCTATATATTAGCATACAGTGTCTAAAATTTCTATAATTTTAAATTTATAAACAATTTTACCAATGAAAATAAACTTCTTAACTGAAGTGGTGTGGTTTCTTTAAAAAAAATTATTTAGAGTCGAAATTGATGCTAATACTTTAAATTAATACGTAAATTAAAAGCTATTTCTGGCATTCATTTCATCATGAGGGTCAAAATATCCTTTTAGTATAATTTATTTAGAGAAGTAAGGGTCTAAATATGTTATGAAGTTATTATATTCTCTAGGTATTGTGGGTCTGAACAACATTAAATCCAATGACTATTGCAATGTTGTGCTACAGGTAAGATTCAATATTCATGAAAATAAAATTAAATATTTTGTTTAATCTTGTGGTAATGCCATTTACAAACAATTAGAGTATAATTTGTTGCTTGGACCATAATAATATGAACAAATTGCTAAGTTAATTTTGGCTTAGGTAAATTTGTTTTCGCATGAATTATTTTTTTTTAGTATTGAATAATTGACTCAAACTAATTAATGATTCCCATTGCATTCATTTCAACAGTCACTATCTCACGTGGGACCTCTGAGGAATTATTTTCTCAAGGAAGAAAACTATAAGATGATCAAGCGACCTCCTGGGGATATAGCCTTTTTGTTGGTGCAAAGGTTTGGGGAATTAATCCGCAAACTTTGGAATCCTTGCAACTTCAAGGCCCACGTCAGCCCTCATGAAATGTTACAGGCAGTTGTTCTCTGCTCTAAAAAAAAGTTCCAGATAACTGAGCAAGGTGATCTTTTGTTTTTATTAAATGTGAAAAAATTAATTAATTTTTATTTCTCACTTTAAATAATTATAGGAAATATAACTTTCATTTAATATTTTTTGCATTTCTTCATAATGTCTATTTTATACAAATTGCATTATTTTTCTATATATAAAACCAAAAACCTCTGATACAATACAAGAATTTTAGAATCCTACTTTAATACAGTGTTTGCCATCATAAAAATGTGTGCATCACACACTAAAGGCATTTTTAAATAAAATATTTTATAGTCCTACTGTTATATTAATTATGCATTCAGCCCAATGAATTTTTTTTTAATGAATTACTCCAAGGTAATTTATTTGATTATTTTTTTTATTTACATATCCAGGTGACCCAATAGATTTCCTTTCCTGGTTTCTTAATGCCATGCACTCTGCATTAAATGGAACCAAAAAAATCAACAGCAGCATCATTAGCAAAACTTTTAGAGGCAAAATGTTGGTCTATTCACGGAAGATGCCAAATTTGGACTTGGTATATTCATTTTATATTATAATTTTATTTTTGCAACTCATTAGTAGTATTACTGATTAAATTTAACCAATGTCCTCTTTCAACACATGAGCTCCAGATACTTAAAACTTAGTTGCTAAAGATTGGAATATCTCACACCTAGTAAAAGAGCTCTAGATCTTCATGTGGGCGAGTTCCGTTGTGATGGGTCAGGTTAAAATATCAAATCCTGCACTTCCTATAGTCCACTTAATTACATCAAACCTTGCCTTCGCTTATATGCACAACTTTGATGAGCAGTCATAATATATGTCATTCACTGTTGATTTTCTGAGAAATTTCTCTTCTGATTAATTAATTTTCCTTTTTTTTTCTTAGAGTGAGTCAGAAAAGGCAAAACTTTTGCTTGAAGAGGAATACCAAGGTTAGTTATTGGAAGGAGATGGTGAGATTTATATAGAAACATGAAGACTGGTAATGTTCTGTTATTTATTCAATGTGGACTACCAATTTTATAATTTTTTTGTATCCTGCTCCGAGGAATTCATATATTATTTTGTCATGAACAAAAATAACTGGATGACAAAGCGTCCATTTTGTTTTTTTTCCCCTTAGAGCAAATTTATGACATGCCCTGGCTTTATCTGACCTGTGACCTCCCGCCACCACCACTGTATCCTGATGAGTCCAGAGAAAACATCATTCCCCAGGTCAGTACTTTTCCTTGCATGCAATGTGGTAAAAAAGAATAGCATTCATGTAAAATTGTATAAAAATTGACTTTTGTATTAAATATTTTGACCGATTTGAGATCTCAAGTGCTACCGTGCCATCGACAATGTAGTTTCACCAAATATATTATATACATTCTATTAATATATTTTTTTAACAACATTTTTAGAATATAATCATTTATATATTGGCAAAGCAATTTCTCCACAACTGTAGGGCTGAAATATAGGAAACATGTCCCAACAATTGTATCCCTCAGGTGCCATTTGCCAACCTGTTGAGCAAATTTAATGGTGTGACTGAGAAAGAATATAAAACCCACAAGGACAGTACCATGAAAAGGTTTCAACTGACAAGGCTTCCACAGTTCATCATCATTTACTTTAAGGTAAATCAGAAATACAACACATTTTTACAACTCGCAAATGCAACCATTTTTCATTGACCTATCACTAACTTAACTATTACAATTTTAACTTTTATTCACTCACCAATTACTCAACATATTATTCTATTACTCACCAACAATACAATGGTTTGATAAATCTGTTTGATGGGAAGATTTAAGTTTTATGCATTGAATCTTTTTGGTCAAAAGAATACTAAAATAATGCACAATATTATTCCTCCTCATAAATTAAGCAAAAAATATATTTTTTTTTGGAGCTCAAGTTTTTTCTGATATGTTTTTATATTTATTAACTTTTCCCTTTCTGCAGAGATTCAACAAGAATTACTTTGTCCTTGAGAAAAACCCAACTATTGTAAATTTTCCCATCAAGTAAGTCATTAGATGTTGATGTGATCAACCTATTTATGTGTTTGATTTTTTTATTATTGTTTATCTTTCTTCTTGTTTGAATATGACTGAATTTTAGGACATTAATAAATATGTATATGTAAAGATATATGTGGCTATGAATATATTCACAAATGAAAATGTGATTTATTACGGGGAAAAAACTCCAGTCCCATTTTATGCTGTGCAATATTCTTTAAAAAATGTTCACAGAAACATAGATTTCGGGGACCTTTTGTCTGCTGAAACCAGAGCCCAACACAAACACACGACTTACGATCTGGCAGCCAACATCATTCATGACGGAGAGCCAGGCAAGGGAAAAGGGAGCTACAGGTGTCATGTACTTCATAAGGTAAACACGTTGATTTCTTGTCATTGTTTTATCAAGGTAGCATTAAACTTAATGGGAGAAGCTATGACTTTTGTTTTTAATGTCTTTTCAAAATAAAATATTGTTATAAATTTGTATTCACAAAGGGTCAAAACAAATGGTACGAGATGCAAGACCTCCATGTTGCAGACATTTTACCTCAAATGATTACGTTATCAGAGAGCTATATACAGGTAAATTTAATCTTAAATGTGTCCTCTAAAGCGTTGTTTATTACTTTGGTCCAAGTTAAATTGATGGAACAAATTTATAAAACTATATAATCATTCACCAGGTTATGAATGTAAAAAAAAACTATGTCTTAGTTCCTATGCACCTTTGAATAAATATGCACTTGAAACCTAATGCTATATCAGGGTTTTGTCATAGTTCCTATGCACCTTTGAATAAATATGCACTTGAAACCTAATGCTATATCAGGGTTATAGTTCCTATGCAACTTTGAATAAATATGCACTTGAAACCTAATGCTATATCAGGGTTTTGTCATAGTTCCTATGCACCTTTGAATAAATATGCACTAGAAACCTAATGCTATATCAAGGTTTTGTCATAGTTCCTATGCACCTTTGAATAAATATGCACTTGAAACCTAATGCTATATCAGGGTTTTGTCATAGTTCCTATGCACCTTTGAATAAATATGCACTAGAAACCTAATGCTATATCAGGGTTTTGTCATAGTTCCTATGCACCTTCGAATAAATATGCACTAGAAACCTAATGCTATATCAGGGTTGTGTCAGCTGACCTATGGGGTTGCATATTTGCCTTCTATAGTAGTGTAAGGAAACCTTGCTTACTCTCTGCTAACCTTCATCTATATCTGGCATTCACTAAAGAACAACTCAGGCGATAACATTTGATGCTTATAATCTTGTTCTTTATTAGGCTGACCCTTCGCTTATACTTTCTCTCATCTCGCAACTCTGACTGCCCTCTTATCATACCGTCCGAGTTCTCCCTGCTATCTGCTTCTCTGTCCGGCCGCGTCTATCCCGTCCCGTCCAGAGGTCCCTATTTATAAGTCCCTGGGTCTGTACTTGGCCGCCCCCTTTTCTCAGTCGGCGCCAGGTTACCAACCAACCAGTCGTCCCAGGGAAATGCCCTGGTCAGATGGCCGGTACCGCCCCCGGCGCTTGATCCGTCGATCGTGATCCCTGGTCAGATGGCGCCGGCTGTACCTGGTCAGATGGCCGGTAACCCTGGTCAGACGCCCCCGGCGTTGTCGTGATCCGAACTCTCCACAATCAGATGGCGCCGGCTGTACCTGGTCAGATGGCCGGTAACCCTGGTCAGACGCCCCCGGCGCCGTCGTGATCCGAACTCTCCACAGTAGTATGCTCCTATTCTAAACAATATGATCCATCCTCTTTCAGATCTTTGAAGTTCGCAAGGACATCCCCAACCCCATGTACAAGCCCAGCTCAGACAAAGACATGGAGGACCATATGGAAGGTAGTGATGGAGACCAAGGTGGGGCAGACAACCCCAAGCCAGATGTCATCGTCGTGGAAGCTGCAGATGCACCAGACGACGGAGTTATTATTATTGATGATCCTGCCACCTCTGCCACCGAAGTCAGTGGAAAACCAGATCAAGTCCAAACTGAGACAGTGGCACCCGTTGAACAAAACTAGACCTTAGACTGGCTGGTCCATAGTCTTCTCATTAGCTAGGTCTATTTGCTCTACAATGTTGACCATGATTCAGTCACAAGTATTTATAGTGAGATGGTTTTACTTTTAATTTTAAATACTTTAATGTGGAATTAACTGACCATGAGAATTGATTGTTTTAAAAATGTTCTTTGTATGTAATGAATACAATTGAATTACCTATTATTCTGATTACTTTGTGGGTTTTTTTTATGTGTTGTTGTTATGAATGTATATATTAGAGGGCATAACTCTGAAAGTGAAATTCAGAAAACATTAATATGTTGGCAATATTTCTTTGCAAGCTGAACTTCCATTTGTTCCCCATGAGTCACAATTCGGGACCCAGCATGAGACTAAAACATTCTTATTGTTATTTTACTTAATTTTGATTTATCAAGAATACAAACTAACTACTGATGTCTCCTGTTGCCCAGTGGCCTAGATTTAAAAGTCTGACCACATTAACTCATATCTGCCCTGATCAAATCAACTATTCTGTTGTATGAGAATTGATCAAGGCTTTTATTTGTTAATCCTCTTTTTGTAGTACCTGGTAAGTGCAACATTTTGCTGAAAACAAAAAGATTCTCTTCAATGAATCTTTACAGTTTACATCTAAAATGATCAGGCTTTAGTAGTTTTGTAATAAGTGGCTTGAGTACTGAGACAGCTATTGCAGAATTGAAAGAATTGGTCACATCATTTCAAGCTATTTTAAAGTCTTGACAGCTCAGGAGCTAAAGGGTAGTGCTATTTGGTGTCCATGTTATTGTGTGATAACAGCAAACAAAAACATAGTGAAGAGGTTAATGTCTGATAGCAAGTTCAGACTCAAGAGTCTTAAACAGACCAAATTTGATGGAAAATCTATTGAAGCATTCACATTCTTTTAAAATTGTCTAGATTTAAATCTAACATCTTGATAGCATATGTGTGTCTGTCACACAATGACGAATACAGAAAAATTGGCTAGTGACCAATTACAGATTATTTGCTCACTTGAAACAATGAAATTGGCAAGTGGCATATAGTTTATTATTTGCCGATTTGGAACCATAAAATTGGACTATAACGGTGAAGTTATGATGATTGCATTTGTTGAGATTGTCACACCACTGTTTGTAACATTTGCTTATTTGTTTGAAGCAAAGGACTTTCTTTAAAAGAACATTTGTTTCCTTGCTGTTAAAATTCTTTCATGAGAGAACCTTAAATTAAAGCAAAATCATTTTTGAGCTGGATATATTTTTTTTTTTAAGAGAATTTTTTTATTTCCCCTTTAAAAAAAACTTTTTGAACTATAAATATAAGGATAAAAAATAATTAGTGTGATGTTTATTATTTGTGTTTATTTCATGTTTAACTTCATAAAACAAATGCATAGATAACTAAAGATGTAGACAATAATTATTAAATCATATCTTACAAAATATTGATAAATAGATTTAACCAATCAGCACACACCACACAAGATTTAATTCCCATGCATTCATCAGACTATCAACTCTTCAAAACAAAACCTGAAAGCCCCTCCCCCCCATTAACCCCCCCCCCCCCCTGCTTTTTAACTGTGATCCTTTCCTTCCTTTTGTTTTTTCATCTCTCCCAAAATTTTATGCAGCCTTTTCTTAGCATCTTTGAGTTTTTCTTGCTTGACGGCCTCCTCTGCCGCCTTCTTCTTCTGGTGCTGCTTCGCTCTCTGCCTCATTGCTCGGTGCTCAGACACGGCTTTGAAGTTGTGAAGAGCTTTCACACGCTTCAAGAAGTTAGCAATCTGAAACAGTAATATGTTATACCCCGGTAATTAAAACAGTAATATGATATAATGAAAGCCATGGTCCATCAAACTGATGGCTAAAATATCTAATCTTAAATTGTATGTAAAATAGGACAAGGACTGTGGGAATATTCCAAAGGCATAACCAAACACTTAAGTTAATATAGATTCATCTCAATTGAAGTAAAATCCAATTATCAACAAAATAAATAAATAAAGTATCCATGAAATCACCTTAGCCTCCTGGGGTTCCATAACTACTGCAACTCTCTTGGGCTGTTTAGGTTCCTTAAGTTCCTTTGGGGTGTCTTTGAAAGGAAGCCGTTTCTTTAGATCTCTGGGTATCACTAGGGGCTTTCTCTCTCTCTCTGGTCGAACGATGGGCTAAACAGAAAATTGTCCGAAATTAGTGCAACAAAAGACAAAGATGAACACAGCTGATTACTTAAATTTACATTTGCAATCACATTTACTCTCAGAAGACTTCTTTGAAATTAAGTTCTCAAGACCGCTTTGAGATTATTTTGCTGCAATTATTAAATTTAGAATAATGTATGTTTAACTAACAGGATAGACTGCCGGCAATACATCCATTGTAAAACAAATTAGCTTTAGATTTTTAAATATTTACATATATTGAAAAAATAATTGTTCATAAAAACAATGCTGGTGTTACAGTGGATCATTAAGGTCACAGCAAGCAAAATGGATTTCAGTATAGATTTCATTGGTGGCATCCCAAATTTCCAGGAACTGGTTCTATGACAAGACATGCCATCCTGCCATCTTGAACTAAACTATTTTTAGATGATTTAAGAGTTACTTATGTTTTTATAATTTTAAGAACCGGTTTGCACAAACCAGTGCTAACTGGTAGGATGTCACCGCTGGATAAAAGTATTACAAGTTGTTGAAATATGTTTCTACATTTTAGTTTACAATTGACGGTGTCCAATGTGGTATCTTATAAAACCAACCTTATAAAGGGAGTCAGATTTCTGCGTCACGGGTAGACCACGCTCGTGTCTCAGGTGACCAATGGTCCTCATTCCCATCCAAACTTGTTTGTCTTGAGGAGACAACAAAAGGGAGGTCACTGGCATGATGAACTTGGGAATCTCAAGTTTCACCCAGGCTTTCAGGAAAACAATGTCTGCAAAACACAACCAATATTGACATGTACATGAACACACAACCAATATTAACATGTCATTTACAGGAACACAAAAATGCCAACCCCTCCCATCTCCCTCTCTTCTTTTAAATGAAAACCCTGGCTTATGATATAAGGAGAACAAAACAATAAGTCATGTTAAAAAATTTGTTACAACTGAACAGTTAAAAAATATCAACTAAAATTTGTAATAGAATGTCAGGCATTTCCATAGCAACTAGACAAGATGAGTAGGTCGACTTCGTCTCTTGTCAGTGAACAGATAAAGACTTGATAGGCAGCGTGTAATGAATCCACTGTCAGAACTACTAGTTTCTTTATTTTAATAAATGTCACATTGTCAAACAATCAAAACTGGAATGATTGCAATGTCTTAAATAAAGAAAAACATTGAAAAGCAAATGTATTTATAAAAGATAACAATAGCTTAGTCCATCTTAAACAAAAATATGACACATGTGTTCACCTCATTGGGGTCTTCCCCACTACACATTCAGCTGTGTCAACACCCATTCAGTAAGCATCACTGACTTTAAGACCACTAAACACAGCCTTCGGTCTATCGGTACTCACCACTCATTCTGATCTTATCCTCAAACGTCGCCCTGAATGCTCCAGGGGGGGAATGCAATGCTTTCTTGACCTGTCCTCTCAAGCCACTCACAGTTTGCAGACGGGCACCTTGAAATTTGGCCACTTCCAGCGAAGAGGTAAACATATTCTGATGAAAAAAAAAAAAACCACTTATCAGGTGAACATAAAACTGAATGAGTGAAAAAAAAGGCATGAAAATTATATCATTTCTTGCAACAGATTTTGTTGAAACTCCTATAACGTTTGCGCAAATACTGAATTAAATGATGACTTGCCTGTATGATCCACATCACTTAACAGTAATAAAGATGACTTGTGTGTATAATCAACATGATTTACCTGTATAAATGCTGACTTTTTGAAGACTTTCAGTGGAGCACCCACAAGTTTTAACTTCTTCTCTATGTCCACTGACTGGTCCAACTCCAAAACTACACCAGTGGCAGCGATACGGAAATTAGCCTGTGAGAAAGCAACAAGCATTACTGAAAGAGCCATATTACATGTACCTTATTAGAGAGCCATATTAAATGTATCTTATAAGATACCCATCCTAAATGTATCTTATAAGTGAGCCATACTAAATGTTTCTTAAAAGTGAGCCATACTAAATGTATCTTATAAGTGAGCCATATTAAATGTATCTTATAGATGAGCCATATTAAATGTATCTTCTAAGTCTTCTTGAAAAATATGATCTCTATAGAGTGTGTTAAAAAGAAGATCTCTATAATTACAATAGCTTGTGTTTCACTACGGCCTTGGGCAGAAGAGCACATGATAGAATGGCTGTTGGACCAAGATGCATTTCTGTCTTCATAACCTCAATACCCTCTAATGTTCCTGTGACTAATGTGGATCCACAGTCACAAACTTACTGTTTTCTCTGAGACTGATTCTACAGCAAGAAATCCTGTTCCCTGTGGTGTGATAGGACCTACAAAAAAAAACAAAAAACAAATGCATCCATGTGAATACAAGGCCAAACATTTAATGCAGATAAGAAGACATAATAAATTATTTGGCTTTTTAAAAAAAAGGGCACAAAAATTTAAATTTATAAAAACAGGATATAATATGGACACCTGGTCGTGGTCTTTTGCATTATCTGGTTAAAAATATCAAAAGCTTGAGTTTTAATGAATTAATGAAGAGGAGCTATGTTGAGCCCGCAGAAGAGGTCAAGACTACACATCTAAATAACGGGATTGCAGTAAATCTCACCAAGTAGAGTGTTAACACTAATGTGACAACTTATTTACCCCAGAATGTTGCCTGGCAGTGGATGTGCTCCGGCGTGTATTTCAGCATACGACGCCTCATGTTGTCCTCCAGCTTGTAGTAGAACGGAATGGTTTGGAACCGTCGCCACCCCAGGGAGATTATTAAAGGATTTCTTGTCTTTAATATCTTTTTGTACCACCTGTGCTTCTTGACACGCACCTGTAGTTGCACGGAGAAAAAAAAGAATGTAAGAAGCATGTGGACCCAGTGTGTACAAAAGAGGTGATGATGGCATCTTGAAATTTTGTTTATAGTTAATGTAAATATTTCAGGTAATTCTAATTTGATTCCCACTGTTGTTGTTTTTTTTTTAAATTTTTAAAGTTAAAATAATTTTTAAAAAGTTCAGGAGTTATTAGTATTTAGTGGAAATAAATTCGTTAGTAAGGAATTAGATCAGAGATTGTTTATACTGAAAAAATCATTTCAATATTTTGAATTTTTTTTTTAAACATCATCTTCCAATAATTGTATAAGCTTAACACTAATTGTAAACACTCATTATTTTTAAACACTGAGGGATACCAAAATAGTTCACCACTGTATCCTATTTATGAAGAAAAATCTAGCTGTCGTAGATTTAAAACCACCCCAGCCGCACTCACGTTGACGTAGCCCAGCTTTTCTTCTATGTTGCTCATTCCACCGATAACGATTGGATATGTGGGGTCGAAGTTCTCCACCAGCTCACAAGGCATCTGATCGAATTCTATTCTCACATACATGCCAGGGCGGAATCCCTCAAACTGGACCCTCTGTTCCTCTGGCATGTCCTCAAACTCAGCTCTGTTCAGCTAGGGATACAAAACAGATTGCGTACATACACAAAGACATGTTAAGATTTAATCATGATTACACAAATTTTATGCAAGTTCAAATGCTTTGCTTCAGGGGATATGATTTCAGTGTAAATAACAGATCAACTCCTAAATGCCAGGGGATGTTGAGCTAAGAAAAAACTCCCAACTAAAGATTATATTGAACCTTCATCAATAAAAATGGCAGAGATTTTCTATTGTTTCGTTGGTATTTCATGTCAGTAACTCGTTTTCAATAACAGGAAAACAAAGAAAGACTGCGCCTATTGAAGGGCAGAGGTTAAAATACTTCAGTGGGGTGAAAACTAAACTGATTCGTTTTCAAGCTCAAGTCTGCACATCGGGGCGTGACCTCTTACCTTTGCCTGATCGTCAGCTTCCTGTTTCCATGAATCATAGAACTCCGATTCTCCCTTTGTGTCATAATCTTTGTCAAAAAGTTCCTTAATCTTTCTTTTCTTGGAAAGTCTTCGCTCGTGTGCAGTCATCTCTGCTTTTGTTTTAGTCTTCTCTTGCTCGGTCTCGGCTAAAGAAAATATTTCAACACCCATATATTCATCTACATACCATGCAGCTGCTTTCCATTCTTATAACTGTGATTTGTGGGAGATCGTCAGAGCAATGGTTTATTATTACATTAATTCATTTTAATGTATAATTATGAACTCCATATTTCCTGCCTCAAGCAACTTAGGATGGTACTGTATTTAAAATAAATCTAAACTTTAAAATTTTAGTTGACAGTTTAACTTCAACATTAATTTTTTTTAAATTATTAAAATTATTTGAGAGAAACTGATCCTTTTGCTGGAATACGAAGCACACCTCTTTGTAAACAAGACTGTTAATTTCTTTTCATTTGTTTCACATTCAATGTACTGATAACTAAATTATAATATAAATTGTGATTTAAAAAACATACGCTCTCCATCCTCTGTTGCATTGACTTGTTTAGTTGCATTGTCATCGTCACCCTCTTTATCATCATCATCATCATCATCATCCTCATCGTTACTGCCATCATTACCACCACCTTTCTTCTCTGATACAAATTTTTCTCCAGTTTCTAAATCTTCAAAGTCCCCGAACATGGCATCTGAAAACAGTCAAGTTGATTTGTGCAAATTGTTTGAATTATATATATTAAGGAATGAATTGTTACATAGGAAATAAATAATAACAATTCCACCAAATAAAAACCACAACTTGACTGGCATATTGATTAAAATCAGAAACTTTAAATATAAGTGAAAAGAAGTGAAAGTGATCATGATTCACAAGGTGAAATATCGAATGAGATATGCATTGTAATTATTAAGGAATGAATTGTTACATAGGAAATAAATAATAACAATTCCACCAAATAAAAACCACAACTTGACTGGCATATTGATTAAAATCAGAAACTTTAAATATAAGTGAAAAGAAGTGAAAGTGATCATGATTCACAAGGTGAAATATCGAATGAGATATGCATTGTAATTATTAAGGAATGAATTGTTACATAGGAAATAAATAATAACAATTCCACCAAATAAAAACCACAACTTGACTGGCATATTGATTAAAATCAAAAATTTTAAATATAAGTGAAAAGAAGTGAAAGTGATCCTGATTCACAAGGTGAAATATCAAATGAGATAAATAAAATCATTGTTTCTACATCTAAGATGACATTATGTAACAAACCTACCATCTTCATCCAACCTGGCTTTAGCATCCTCACTGGCATCCCACTTGCCTGTCACAAAAGTGTCCAGGATTTCCTCACTCAACTAAGAGAAATAGAGGTTCAGACAAGGAATAATTAAATCTTTATGCCATTCATTAGTTTTCCTTATCCAGATAATCCAGTCAAAGCTAGAAACACTAATTGAGACATTCAGTTATTTACTAACTACCCCTACATGAGGGTAGCCTTGACCTACCTGGTCTAACTTCCACTTATCATCAGCGACCACATGATTGCAGTCCATCTTGTTGATGGTGTGTTTGTCCTCTTGCCTGTTGTCACCACTCTGTTTCTTGAGGACTTTAAACAAACCAGCCAGGTCGTCATCCTTCTGGTCAGTGTCACTCTCGGCATCATGACCTGAATCTAGTTCAAGAAAGATTTATGTAAAGCATATGTCAAAGGACCTAACAGATTTACAGACTTGTTTACCCTCAAACTCATAAAATCGTATAATATCATCACAAAAGCGTTCAATAGATTATCTTAATAGTGAAAAAAACAAAAAAAAACATACAGTATATAGAATGTATACAACTCAAAATCTTACATTGTACGCCGAAATCGTAAGAGTAAAATGGTCTGGATTTACCCAAACATTAATTATTGATGAGAAATACTGCATTTCTTAATCCAAACAAAGACTTTTGGTTTAATATTTACAATTCAAAATCAAAGAAGCGTATCCTCCAATGCAAGTCTTTATATTAAGAGTGTGAAATGATCGACCCCCACCCACATTTACACAACACAATAAACAGTCGGGTTTGAGTGGCCATGCTTTTATGTTAGGGCGGCTTGTTTCAGTCATGACTAAATATCCTTGACATCAGGAACAAGGAGCAGTGTTTCAAAGTTGATAATAATCCCATTTCAGGGGTCCCAAACAGTGGGCTAGTGTGGGTAGAAAGGGTGCTTCTTGCCACCCACATGTACACAATTGACATCAAAATCAATGCATGTTTGAAGGTGTAAAGTCCATAAATTATTATGCCAACAAAAAAACAACAAAACACTTACCCTCTCCATAAACCATTTTGAAATAATTTTTTCTAGTGGTGTGCTTGATGGCAGCTTTTGCAAACATATTTTTCTTCCATTTGAGCATCCCTGTAGGAGCAGGATAAAATTTATAGCCAAAAATCTTGTGTAGCAGTCTTACATAGAAACTATCCATAGGCACTTGATTCTTAAGAGATTTTTATTTACATGAAATGCTATTATTTTTAAAAATCCGATTTTCAATAACCCTAACATTAAGTTGATAGAGGTCTGGTGGCCGAGCCATGGGCCAGTTATTACAGAAATGAAATAGGTTTGTGCTCACCACCCTCTTCATCACTGTCATCCTCTTCACTGTCGTTCACTTCATCTTGTTCCTCCTCATCTTCAGGACCGCTATCATCGTCGTCGTCATCACTTTCTGACTTCAGCTCAACCTCGCCCCCATCATTAAGAGTTTTCCTTTTCTTCTTTGGAGGACCTTCAGCCTGGGAGAGTGGCAAAGTTAAACAAAACTCAAAACATTTCTCTGAATGCCTGAATTTTTAAATGTATACAAGAGTTATCTGACCTGGTAATAAATGAAATAGTAAAACAAAGGTCTGTTGAAGCTTGAGTCAAAAGACAGGACAATAAGATGTGAACGTTTCGGCTTAGAGCCTTCTTCAGCGAACAGGACAAAAAGAAGCACGACAAGAAACAGAGCACGGTAAAAAACTTTAGAGATCTCCTTTGTTGTTGCTGGGAGTAGGATTACAGGAAGTGAAAGAATATAAATATTGGTACTGTGAAAAATAATGTCCAGAATCTTAACGGACTAAAATATTTAGGGAAACATAAAAATCTAAGGAATAAGAAGAAAAAAAAGAAGAAATACAGGGAAATTGAGAAACATTAGTAGTTAGTAGGAGATTATTTCATTCACAAAGCTTGAATGCAGTCCTTCAATTATTATCTAATAAAAGAAAAATAGCTTATTTATTGATTTTTGTTTCATTAAAATGTTATGGATTTTTATCACAACAATATAAAGCAATGGTCCCTGTAGAGTTGCAAGACAAGAAACCGAACAGAAAGAAATGAGAGCAATACATACAAACAACAACAAATGTTAATCGAGGGGTTAACTTTGCAATGTTTGAATTAGTTAGTTAGACGTCACCTCTTCATCTTCCTGGTCCTCACTGTCATCATCACCATGACTGCTGTCCGTGTCCATCCCAGAATCCTCAGTGTCCTCTTGATCTTCTTCCTCGTCATCACTGTTTTTATCACGGTGTCTGAAACGATTGGGCATAAAAATCAGTTGGGTCGAAGCACCACTGTAAAGATGGTTGAAACTGCTGAACTTTGAACCGAACAACTGCAGCAGTTCAAAGACAACCCCTTCTGATGCAGTTGTTTAAAAGTATTACGTGTAGTCCAACAAATGCTATGCCAGTGCTATATACTGACATATCACAAACAAAAAAATTTCACTATAGCTCACACACACACACATATATATATATATATATACACACACACACATACAAGTAAATCTTACTGAAACTCACTAGTTCATTGATAAATTACATGTCAACTGCCATACACTGACTTATCTGTGTGGTAAATGACCAAGAGCCACCAATCCCAAGAGCCATCAACTTTCTATTCACCTCTTACCTTTTTCTGTCAAATTCTGAGCCAGATATTGCTGGCCCGCCTTTGAAGATAGAAATCTGGCTCTCTCTGACTTTTTCATCCATGGGCTTTAGACTCTCCATCAGTGCCGCCACAAGGCCTGAGGGCTTATCCTGATGAAATGACACAAGACTTTAAACTACGAAAGAATGTCTGCAATAACAGTAAGACTACAGATACCTTCAGCACCAATAGTTCCGCACCAAAAGTCAAGCACCTATACAACTTTGAAATGGTCATTTGAATGGTTGTAATAACATTTTTCACATGCTGGTCTTAAACTATATGAACATTTTTGAAACACTGGTCTTAAATTATATGTACATTTTTGAAACACTGGTCTTAAACTATATGAACATTTTTGACACACTGGTCTTAAACTATATGAACATTTTTGACACACTGGTCTTAAATTATATGAACATTTTTGACATGCTGGTCTTAAATTATATGAAAATTTTTGAAACACTGGTCTTAAACTATATGAACATTTTTGACACACTGGTCTTAAACTATATGAACATTTTTGACACACTGGTCTTAAACTATATGAACATTTTTGACACACTGGTCTTAAATTATATGAACATTTTGACACACTGGTCTTAAACTATATGAACATTTTTGACACACTGGTCTTAAATTATGTGAATATTTTTGACACACTGGTCTTAAAGTTTGCCTCAATCTTTCAGGGGAATTGATATTGATAGAACATCATTGAAGAAACATTTGAAGACTTTTCTGTTTAAATAGATTTAAGTAAACCAGAGTGCACTGAGCATGCTAAAGTAGCATGGATGCCAGCGCTATATAAATATCTCATCAATCAATCAATATGAACATTTTTGACATGCTGGTCTTAAACTCTATGAACATTTTTGACACACTGGTCTTAAACCATAGGAAGGCTCTTACACACTTTAAAGAGACCCAAGTATAATAACAAAGATGAACCGACCTCTTCTTGTGATGATTTCCCCATGTCTATATACACGGCATCTTTATCGTAGACAATGCCCCCTACACCAGACATTGGGGCGTAGATGCAACGTTCTCTTTTGTTGAGTGATCTCCTCTTCTCCATTAGAGGCGTCGGACAAGGGTCGGGGAGAAATGTCATGGTTTTTATGACGTAGTCACCACAACCTGGGTGATTCAGGATATGTAAAGTGTCAGTTAGATTCAAATATATCCGAAATGGATGATATGTATATGTAACACGGAGAGAAAAGGTATCAAAATTATAATTTGGTCATGTAAGTTTGAAAAAATAACAGCTAATAAACATACAAATGTATACCTGCAATGTGTACCATTGACTTGGATTTCATGTGGGTGCCTCTCATATAACCGTACAAACTGACAACCCTGTCACACTTTGGATTCTGCCTGATGCTCTCTGGGTTGGTAATGTCTTCTATCCTACAAATGCAAGATACAAACAAACAAAAAGTCTAAAGACTAAATAGAAGACCCACTAATTTTACAGAAGGCCCACTAATTCAACAGAAGGCCCACTTACTTAACATCTACAAATCCAAGATACAAACAAACAAAAAGTCTAAAGACTGAATAGAAGGCCCACTAATTTAACAAATAAAATATGAGAAATGCATTGAATGATTGGCGGACAATCAACGGCTTTGAAAGTAGACTCACACACAAAATATGTTTTTAAAAAAACATTTGAATGTTTACAGGACTATTCTAAAACAGTACAGACCAGCAAAACCTCTGGTTAAAACATGACCAAACATCGGCATTACCTGTCGGCTAAGACATAAGGATGTGAGGCCCTCCAAACCAGAGGGGTCATTTTCATGACCGAAATAAATCGACAGAGATTGTGGACTTCATTCTGCAGATATTCCCCATTGACAAGCATGGAGAGATAAAATAAACGTGCACCCTGAAATACAAAAAAAAAATTAAAAAATTAACAGATTGTTACTAGAATTGTATGATCCAGGTCGGTACAAACACCAACATCTTATTGAATGCACTTATGCTAAACTAGCAAATGATTAGTGGATCATCTAAGAACCTTCTTTCAATATCCTTACACATTTTCAATGCTACAAAAATAATTATTATCTTTAAAGGATCCCGAAATAAATAAGACTATTTTGTTATTCGTACCTTATACAACTCAACTTCAAATCTGCTTTTCAACGTCTTCTTACGTTTTCGTACAGCTTTGCCATCTTTGTACATGTCTAAGTGGTTTAAAACTCCCATACACCGTGGGAAACCAGTAGCTTGGCAGATATTGAAGAACTCAAATATTTCCATTTCAAAACCTTGCTTGGCGTCTACCATTAATAAAACCTGACAAGAAAGTCATGATGAACAAAATGAATAGAGACTTAATTGTGAGCACGGAAAGTAATGAAGCAGAATTTAGGATAAAATTTCCTTAAAAACACAATTACTCATTTTTATCATATTCAATACATTTTGAGGGCATATCCTAAAAGATCAATGTGCATATCATATCATGCGTTCATTAAAACACAAGGCTCATATGTACTCCCCAGTAAGAAATGGCAACCAAAAATTAGCTCATCAATTTTTTTTTTTAAATAATCTACGTAAGAATCTGTGACTTACCAAATCAGCAATTTTCCCCACATCAATCATACAGTTAATATCATTATTGCACTCGATAAAAGTCAGACGTCGATTTTTACCTAAATGGTGAAAAAAAAAGTACAATAAAACAATTTATCCTTGGTTCAAATTAAACACAGTAGGCCATAATATATCAGTATCATGTTTCATATTTTGTGATTCTTACAACACTTTTTATTCCTAGCTTACCTGCCACTACCGTTACTGGTCCCTTGATGTTTGTTAATTTTTGTTTAGTGAAGTTCTTGACCAAACATTTCAACAAAGTTGTTTTGCCTACTTTGGGTGGTCCAACAATAGCTACAACAATGGGTGGAGGCTCTGTTGGGGTCCGGTCAACTTTGGGAATGTGTTGTTTCCTTGTCTTGATATCCGCTGTTCTGGAAAACCAAATTTAAAACAAATAAGAATAATTTTAAAATCACAGGTTTACTTTAACAGAGCGGTTACATACCATATATCACTCCTGGCAGCATTAAATTACTTTGCTGAATGGGTGGGGGGGGGGAGGTTTAAAGTAATGAAGTAAGTAGGCTTAAGGATGAAAAGGGATAATCAGTCAGTAATGTGAAGTTCAGGTGTGTATATTATTTCTTATCGTATTTTCGCAAATAGATTTATGTGGATTCTTTATTAAATTAACTCCAGGAAGTAATAGTTAACTAACACTTAATTGTACAGCGCTAACTTTTATTTTTTATTTGATTTCCAAAGCATTGTTAAACAGCCCCCAATGATATATAGCCCTTGAATGCCGTAAAGAAATCTCTCACAGTTTATTTTCAACATATATGCCAGATTTTTTCATCTGTAAGTTGTTATGCTAAATGAAATTTACAAACTGAAGGCATGTTCACAAAAACAAAACAAGAAATTAAATTATAATAAATTTATTTATTGATATTTTGAACTTTCTGGAAAATTCTTAACCAGGCCTAAAAGGAGTGAATATTATTAGGCTACCCTTAAATTAACCAATATTATAAGTATGGATTATGATTATTATGAAGTATTTAGGATAGAGCTACAAACATTTGCCTATGTCTATGTCAATGCATTCACGCAGAAGCCTATATTGTTGTCTAAGCCTACTACTACTGGTATTTAAAATTAAAATGTATATTGCTTATATTAGGAAAAATGAGTGGAATTATGAGTTCAGTACCCTGCATTATTTGAAAATGGATTTTCCAGTGTATGTTTACTAACTTTGGTCTAGATCCATTCACCATCCAGGGGCCTTTTTTTGAAATTATATTTACCCCGCTTATATTAGAAAATGCCGAATTTTTGGGCCTACCCAAAATGGAATATTTTATTAAGTTCAACACCCCCACCCCCTTATTTTCCTTTTTGTTAACATGACTTCAGTTTTGAACATGTCATTTAGCTATGCAAACTTATTTTATATGCTAACAAATCTGGGAGAGAAAATAAATGGAGAGATCATTCACCACAGCCTAACACAGGCTAATATAAGTATGTTTGGGGGATTTTCAAAGATGCTTTAGAAAACAAATAAAAAGAAAAGTTAGCGCTGTACAATTTAGCATTAGATAACTACTAATATCTTTTATTAGTTGTTAGTATTACTTATAGTTGAACTTTAAAAGTATTTATTTACTGAACTGCCTGGAGTTAATTTAAATTTAATAAAGAATATGGCTAATATGGGCTACATTTACATGTAAGTTTACAGCATATACACCAAATGCGTTAAGAAATAAAATACGCACCCGAACTGCACTTTAACCATAAAAATCATAATAAGCACTTTAAAATGCATGTATTCAAACAAGTAGCAAGAGAGAGAAAAAGTGTTTTTTTTACAAACCTTCTGAATGCTTTTGCAGCCTTGTTTACAGACTGGATAGCAAAAGCTCGAGGGTTTCGCTGCTTTGCGGTCAACTCTTGTTCATGTTTATTCTTTGATTTCTTTTTCTCTGCCTTTCTCCCTGCCTGGCGGGGCCTATGAGACTTCTTAGGATCATTTTCTTCCATTTCAATTTGTTTTATGATAAAACTTAAAAGAACACGTGAAATTGTTTACATCGCCATATTTATCAGGAACCGGAAATCAACGACTATGTAAGTTAAAATCTCTCAAACCTTTCACTGAATAATTATTAATGATCATGCACATTTTTTTTTTGTAACCAGAAAACTCAGGCAACACCCTGCCTCTCAAAATGTAAATATATATTATTTTTGTATGTTTTCTTTCTTTAACCTTATACTGCCCAACAAAATTTTTAATGAATCCTAACTTAGTAACGATGTTCATTTGTTGCACAACAACAACGTCATGTTAGTGTAAAGTTGTGTTAAGATAAGCTGTAAGTTACTCTAAGATAATAATAATAGCATATATTTTTGATGTTTTACGGCTCTTAGTGCAATCGGATTTCTGGTAGTTTGAGACCACTTCAATTTTCCAAATATTATTATTATTTTTTTTATTTTTTTTTTGTGTGTGCTGGTGGGTGAAGTATAATTCAAAATTATGACCAGTTTGTCATCCCTTTAGACTCTTATTTTAAAAGTAGTGATATAAATGATTAATTCTTAGAGAAGGTTCGTCATGCTATGAGTCTTTGTCAAGGGAATTATTCGATAACAACTACCAATAACTTTACATGAAGAAATAACACAGGGATCAGTCTGGAAATCATGTCGACTTCTTCTGCGTGCACACATTTAAAAAGTGCCTGTCAGATAACCGCTTAAAATTATTAGAAGGAACCTTTTGGATTCTTAAAGCTCTATTTTTTAAATAAAAATTTGTGAATAGAGCTAAGCAGCAAAAAAAAAAAAATTCTTTAAATTTAAAAAAAAATTAATTAATTTTTTTTAAAAACAACCTTTACCCCGACGGTAAATCATCTGACATCGCGACATCGACTCACCCCCACCCCCCCACCCCCCCCCCCCCCCAAAATTAAAAAAAAAATTAATTAATTTTTTTTAAAAACAACCTTTACCCCGACGGTAAATCATCTGACATCGCGACATCGACCCACCCCCACCCCTCCCCCCCCCCACCCCCGTGTTTAACTAATTTAACAAAGGAACACACGTGAGGACTTGTCACAGAAAGAGTCCGAATGTATCTCAGTATAAAATAAAAAATAAAAAATTTTAAAATAAAAAATTTAAAAAATCAATAAATATTTATTACCTCTCAATTTAATAATTTGGGATACATTTGAAAAGTGGATTTAATTTTTTTTCCATATACTTTTTTTTTTTCGCCGGCGAACAGATTTGTTCGTTCAACCACATAAAAAGAAAAGGTTTCATTGAAAATTATAAATTTAATTAATTAATTGGGTGCTGACGACGGTCAAATGTAATTACCGTGTGTTACAACTTTGCCCGAGGCAATCGCTTCCATTACCCGCGGTGAATGGTTGTTTATATGTCTTTGTAGGGTGTTGTAGCTCCATGGAGCACTGCTGGAGTTTATTGTTGTGACGCCGCCGGGTCGCTCCTTGAGTTTGGTGCTCCTAATAGATCGAAGACCACAATGTGGACATAATACTCATTTTAGAAAAAAAATAACCCGTGTCAATTATATAGAGTTTACCGAAAATGCCTCCACAAAAATAAGTGCCGCCCTGACCGAAGCGCCCCCCGACACTCCCCCTTAGGCCGAATTTGTTTTTAGGTAAGAAATAACGAACGTATAAGTCAAGCAGTGGCGTAGAAAGAGGCGGAGGGGGCAGTCAGTCTTGGACGACACATTCTTTCTTTATTTAAATGGAGGCGCAGCATTATCGGCCAACTTGCAGTGATTATTTGCGTTCAAAAGTGTGTGTGTGTGGGGGGGGGGGGGGAAAAAAATCTTGGCCAGTTCCAGGTGGCACCAACTCCAGCTACGCCAATGACGTGAGGTTGTAGTGGGGTGGGGGGCGTTAGTTTTGAACGCACAAACCAGGGCGTCAGTATTAGATGCTCCATTGCGCCACAGGGCTGGAGCTATGCGATTTGATGAAGGCCCTCAATTTTGGATGTTCCTTAAAAACCATTTTAATCCTCACCGCCATCTGAAGAGGGTGCCGGGGGGGGGCACCCCCTTCGCACGACCCGGCACCCCACTCCCTTTTTTTTTTTATCATTTGGATGGGTGGCTATACATAAATTATTTAAAAATCAAATTTGGCAGTAGAAGACCTACAATGTGAATGCCGCTGTTGAAATACTTTTTAATTTTATGTGTGTGTGTGTGTGTTAGCGCGCGCGTGTGTGTATGTGTGTGTGTGTGTGAGTGTGTGTGTAGGCGTGTTTGTGAGTGTAGACCTTTGTATGTTGGCTCGAGGAATCCCCGCAGAATAAGCTGCTTGACTCGGCGCCAATCAAAACATGACCTCGGAGATTACGACGTCGACAAGGAACATACGCATGTTTATATTTTCAGCATGGGGGGTGGGGGTGGAAGGGGGTGGGAAAAGGGATTGGGGGGGGGCTGGGGTGGGGGTGAAGCTGCAGTGATTGAGTTTAAGGTGTGCGTTGAGCCCAGGTCGGGGGGGGGGGGG